GGAAGATCCCACATGCCACGGAGAAACTAAGCCCGTGCGCCACAACTACTGAGCCCACGTGCCACAACTACTGAAGCTCGTGCGCCTAGAGCCGTGCTCCACAAGAGATGCCACTGCAGTGAGAAGCCTGCACACTGCAATGAAGAGTAGCCCCCACTTGCCGCAACTAGAGAAAGCCTGCACGCAGCAGACCCAACACAGCCATAAATAAATAAATAAAAGAAAATTAGTTCATGCAGGTTGTGACCTGAAGTTTGAATAATCCTGCTGCATGACCCGGGGTCAAGTCACTTCACCTCCCTTAGCCTCCACTTCCTCATCTATAGAACGGAAACAAACACTCATTGATTCAGTGCAAAGACCATATGTGTATGGGGCCCTGCACATTCCAAGTTCTCAATAAACACAACATTCCTCTCTATTTCTCTTGGTTCTATAGGACTTTGCCTTCATTCTTTTCCCATCTCTCCCTCCTCTCTCTGTCTCTGATCCACTCTCTCCCTTGCTTCATTGTGTAAATGTCACCTCCTCTGATCTAGGTCACAATCTCCCACAGTCATACCTACCCCCAAAGTTGGCCAAGCGGCTGATGCGGGAGGTGGGCACCTTGCGCTCTCGAGAACGGTCACTCAGCTGGGAAACGGAGAGAAGGTCTGAGCGGGAAAAGGTGGACACAGCACCCAGGAAGTCCAACCAACCTGCCACCACACCCTTCCCCAAGCTCAGGAGGCCAGCTGCCTTCATGGGTGTTGCTGGGTGTGGGGCAATGATACCTGGGGCCGGGCTGTCTTTCTGATCCGGGCCTCCCGTGCCTTGCGAATGTCCTCCTCACCCAGGCCCCTGCCAGGCCCATCCTGGTGAAGCTTTTGGGTCCAAGGACCCCCACATGGCCCCTGCAAGAGACGTGAACACCGGTAACGAGTGGAGAACGTACCATCAGCCTGGCCCCTTTAGACCCCTCCCTGTCCTTTGACTCCCTGAAGCCTCCCTCAGCCTCCTCCCCTTGGAGACCCCTCCCCAGCCTCTTACCCAGCAGAGGGGCCCAGGCCCCAGGGCCCCACAAGGCCAACCAGTAGTCCGGCCCCACTGTCCACAGGTCCCCCGTAGTAGGCCCCCCACCTCCAGCCACATTGTCTGGGGGAGAAGAGGAGGGATTATTCGGGTAGCAATTGTGGGACTGACCTCCCTGCTTTGCCCATCTTTGCCTCACATTCCTCCGTGTCCACCCTAAGACTCCCACCACCAAAGACTTCCTCCCCTGTTAACAGGCCCCCAGTTTCGCCTGGTTCCCTCTCTCGTTGCTAAGATCCCATAGCTCTTCCCGAACACCTCTTCAAACCACTTTCCCCTGGTCCCACTCCGCGCCGTTGCTAAGGTCCTCCCCTGTTGCTAGACACCCACAGATCCTCCAGGGCTACCTCTCCACTTCTCTGAGCACCCCCATCGTTGCTAGGCACCGCCTTCCCCTCGGTTGCTAGGCACCCACAACTCTTCCGGTGTTCCCCCCTACCAACCCCGTTACTGGGTACTTCCCCCGGTTGCTAAGCACCCACTCCCCGGCTCTGGGTCAGCTATGCGCGGGGGTGGGAGGGGTGCCGGGGTCGGGGGGTGGCTCCTGCATTTCTGGAAGTCTTCTCATGCCCGCCCCCTCCGGTCAGCTAGCGAATGACGGAGGAGCAGATCAGGGGCCTCAGGGTGGGCTGGGCCACGGCCTAAGGGTAGGGTAGGGTGGGCTGGGCCACAGCCGAAGCGCTCACTTGCTATTTTGTGCCCTTCCACTCACTTCAAAGTGCCTTGTCCGCGGCGGACCTTTTAGTTTCCTACACGTCTATTTTACAAACATTCCTCTCCTTTACAAACTCCACACCTCTCCTTTGCGCGAACATTTTGTCAGCCTCCGTTTTCCTTATTTGTACCCCTAGTAGGCTCAACATCTCTCCTTTGAACACACATCTTCCCAGCAAACATTTCCCTTTCACATGGAGCCCCTCCACTTTGCACACTCACCCTCTGCTTCAAATACCCATATCCTGGTACCCAACCTCCTCCCTTGCACATATAACCCCCCTGCCTTGCTCACCAGCTGTTTCCCTCGGTGTGCATGCACCCCCTCACACCTAGCCCTTTGCACGCTGGGCCCCTGTTCCCTCCTACACCCTGCTCTCTCAGCTCCCCGCCCACCTGCAGGATGGTGAGTGGGAGCCCTTTGTTTCCCGTAGGCCTGACATTTTCCAGAACACACTCGGCCAAGATTCCCCGTGCTGACTCAGGAGCCTTGGCATCCCGAAAACCGGCTCCCGGCCCATCTGGGTGTGTGTGTTGTTGATGGGGGAGGGAGGACGGGCTTAAAGCCTGCTTCCCCGCCCCCCCCCCCATAAACTGACTCACCTCTCTTTTCACAGTCTGGAATAGAAGCAGCTGGCTGGGAGGAGAGAGGATATGACACTCCCCACACAGAACTGCCTCCCCCAAACCCTGTCTAACCCCCTTTGTCAGGAATCAGACCTCCCTGACCTTCCTTTGTCAGGAATCAGACCGCCCCACACCTAACCTGGACTAGCTCCAGGACAGAAGTCTCTGTCCCTGTGCTACGTGACCTCAGAAGAGCCTCAACACTTTCTGGATCTCAGCTTCCCAGCCTGTATGATGCATTAGGGGGACCCTGCTATGACTTCCCATTGGTCTGTAAAGAGATGATTCATTTTAGAGCCCTGGGTCTGTGCCCAATGCCCCTTTCCAGGTGACTGTTTCAAAACAGAAACCACCCCCTGTGCTCTTCCAGACACAAGGGTCTGACTCAGGAGCGAGGTGGCAGCTCACTCTTGGGGGCAAAATATACAAAAAGTACCTATGACAATAACTTATCCTACAAGGCTGTGACTCATGGTACCAAGCCTGGTATCAGATACATGAGATCATGTCAAATAGCCTGGTGGCTACAAGCAAAGACTACAGGCTGGCAGAGCTCTGAGCCTCGGTGTCCCCATTTATAAAGTGGGGCCATGGCATCCCCTCCTGCTCAGTGTTGGTGAGAAAGGGATGCAGTGAAACGGTGTCTGTAGAGAGGTTGGCACGGAGCTGGTACAGAACAAGAGCTCTATACATGAGAGAAATTTCTTATAGAAAAACTATTCTTTTCAAAATTTCTATTGAGCGCTTACCATTTGCTTTTCTAGGCACTGGGGACACAGCAAGGAACAATACAGGCAAAAATCTTTGCCCTCTTGGTGCTGGCTTCTGGTGAGAGGCACAATAAAATACATAAGTATATGTAATAAGGTGACACTTGTTAAAGAGAAAAGCAAACCAGGGAAGGGCAGGGAGAGGAGGGAAGAGTGTGCGTTTAAATAGGGTGGAAAGGAAAGGCCTCACTGAGGAGACATCGTTTGAGTAAAGACCTGAAGGAGGTGAGGGAAGGAGCGATTGAAATAGCTGAGGAAAGAATGTTCCAGGCAGAGGGAACAACCAGTGTAAAGTCCCTGTGCTGAAGATATCTCAGAGAAATAGCAAAGATGCCAATGGGCAGAGTGAGTGAGGGGAAAAGGATTAGATGAGGTCTGGGAGGTAAGCAGAGCCAGCTCAGGTATGGTGAAGACTGTGGCTTTTTTCCTGAGTAGAATGGCAACCACTGAGGATTCTGAGCAGAGGCGGGACTGATTTACAGAAAATATTCTTACTTCCGGCTCTTCTTCCAACACCCCCAGCCTCAAAATCAAGTTGTATCACTTGATAGTGACCAAAGGGACTTCCCTGGTGGTCCAGTGGGTAAGGCACTCCCAATGCAGGGGGCCGGGGTTTGATCCCTGGTCAGGGAAATAGATCCCGCACGCATGCTGCAACTAAGACCTGGTTCGGCCAAAATAAATAAAATAATAAATATTAAAAAAAAAATAGTGACCAAAGACCTAAATTTTGGATTAGATGGGCCAAAGTTCAAATCTACACAACTGAGATGTGTGATCTTTTTTTCCCCTTTTTTTGGCCTCTCCAGGCGGCTTGCGGGATCTTAGTTCCCCGTCCAGGGATCGAACCCAGCCCCCCTGCAGTGGAAGCACAGAGTCCTAACCATTGGACTGTCAGAATTCCCTAGATGTGTGATCTTGACTCACCGCTTTGCCTTTCTGTGCCTCTGTTTCCTTGGCGGTGCAATGGGGATGATGATCAACCCTACCTTACAAGATTTTGGGTATAAAGCGGGTAAGTACAGCGCCTGGCACAAAGCAAGTATACAAATGTAAATGCTGTTGTAAATAAATAAAAACCCCCATAACAACCCTTTTTACAGATGGGGGAATGGAGGCTCTGAAGAGACAAGTCTGTTGGGAGAGGTCATCCAGGAAGTAAGTGCTGGAGCCAAGCTTTGAAACCAGGCGCTCTAGCTTCAGAGATTAAGACCCTGGTTTTGCCCGTCATTGAACCCTAGGCAAATTCTTTCACTGCTCTGGGCCTCAGTTTCCCAGTTGGTAAAAGTGACTGGCTCTTGTGGCATTGAACACACATTTTTCAAAACAGTAAAGTAACATAATGTATCCTCATTTTACAGGTGAGAAAACTGAGTCTGGGGCTGGGGCAGGGGGTTGGGAGAGGAAGTCACTCGTTCAAGGTAACACAGCTAGGAACTAGCAGAGGCGGGTCTCGAACTCACGCAAGTAGAATTCCCAACTCTTCGGAAGTCCTTCCCGGCGCTGCGTGAAGAATGGGCGCGCTGCCGGACTCGTCGCCGGGGGTTATAGGGAGACTAAACTAGTCACTCGAGGGTGTGGGGACGTAGGGTTAATTGCGAGGGTGCTGCGAGGGGCCCCACTGATCGGGACCAAGATCCCGGCGCCCCACACCTAACCTGGACTAGCTCCAGGCGCTCGCGGTTCACCGCGCGAATGGAGACGGGAGGAGCCAGACAAGGCCCATACCCCTTTACGTCACGTCCGGCGAGGCGGGGCTTCGGGGCCTTCCCCGGGAGTTGTGGGCGGGGGTGGGGGTGGGGGTGGGGGAAAGTATCGGTTAACCCCTGCTTGGCTGGGCTGGCTGGAGCTCCGCGGGCCGGAACCCGCGAGTCGGGGCTCCCCAGCCACACCCCTCGCGGGATTTAAAGGGGCAGGAGGGGCTGGGCCCGGTCGAATCCCGAACCTAGGGAGCGGGCATGAGGCGCTGCCCGTGCCGGGGAAACCTGAGCGAGGCGGAGGCTGGGGCGCTGCCGGGGACAGCCCGCATGGGACTGGCGGCGACGCGAGGGGGGCGGCGGCGGCAACCGGGGCAGCAACGACCTGGGCCCGGCGCAGGGGGCCCGGCGGGGCGGCCGGAGAGGGGCGGGCCCCGGGCCCGGACCGAGGAGTCCAACCTCCACACCGAGCCCGAGAGGGCCGGCCTCGGGCCTGAGTCGGGGACCGACGGACAGGCTGAGCCTGAAGCAGCTGGCTCCGGGGCGGGGACGGAGCGGCCCAGCCAAAAGACGGAGCCAGGCAGGTCCATCCTCCGGACACATCCAGAAAGGAGCAGCCACTGGTCAGAACTGGAGACAGCCGGTGACTGGACGGAGACTAGTACAGATGGCTTTTGGACTGATCCACACAGGTCTGACCTTCAGTGTCAGCCAGAGAGGGCTAACCTCTGGGCACAGCAAGGGGTTGATGGGCCCTGGGCAGAGCTAGAAATACATGGGTCACAGACCCAGCCAGAGAGGGCCAAGCCCAGGGCTGATAACCTCTGGACCCACCAGAACAGGTCCAGCATCCGGACTCAGCCAGAAGGGGCCTCTCTCTCAACAGAGCCAAATGCTGATGGCTCTCGGAAAGAATTGTACATTGATGGCTCCAGGACACAACAGGATACGGAAACAACCTGGAAACAGCTTGACATCGATGGTTTCCCAACACAACAAGATACTGATGGCTTCTGGCCACAGCCTGGCACTGATGGACCCCAGACACAAGATACTCATGGACCCCAGACAGAGCCTGGGACAGACTGCCTTTTGGGGGAGCCCAACCAAGATGGCTCGTTAGAGGAACCAGAACACGGGGAGTTGGTGACTCACCTGTACTCTCACCAGGAGTGTTGCCCCCTGACCCCTGTGCCCCGCCTCATCATCACTCCTGAAACCCCCGAGCCTGAGGCTCAGCCAGTGGGACCCCCCTCCCAGTTTGAAGGGGGCAGTGGAGGCTTCTCCTCTGCCTCCTCTTTCGACGAGTCTGAGGATGACGTGGTGGCCGGGGGTGGAGGTTCCAGCGACCCCGAGGACAGGTCTGGGGTGAGTGGGACCCATCCTGCCCTTGAGCCACATCCCCACAGATCCCGTATCCCCCGCCTCGCCCCCGCCTTTCCTTTGAGAAGTTCTTTAGAACTCCACCAGCAATTTCATCTCCAGGCACCTCTTCCATCCGACAGCAGGGTTACTAACCCCCTCCAGGCAGCCTCTTGCTAATTCTCTTCATTTCCCCTCACCCACTGCCTCCAGTCCTGGGGTCTAAAATGGATGGCTGCTGGCCAACTTCATGGTACCCAGGAATCCCTGAAATTGTGTGAAACTGTGTGTGTATACACATGTTTTTGCAGCAAGGGTCTGTGACTTCTGTTGGATCACAGTCTGTGACCCCAAACTCTAAAGAACACTAGTTCAGGCAGACAGGAAGGGTGCACTTTCTACCGACTTTTCTAAGTCTGGGGCCTGTAGCTGCCTTAAAGGGTCATCAGCCTTCACCACCCCTTAGCTCATTCACTTTTGTAGGGAGTGAGCTCCCAGCTTTTATCAGATTCTCAAAGAGCTGTGTGAAGCCAAAATGCTAAGGGACCCCCAGCCTGGCCAGGGACTCTCCCATTTCCCCATTGCGTTGCCCCTCAGCTCCCCAGGGTGCTCCTGCACACTCTTGTTTACATCCTCCACCCTCATCCACAGCTTGGGTGCGGTTCTCTGGGGAATCAGGAAGGCCGTCAGGGCAGGTTCAGGGAGGGAGGGTCAGCGCATAGGCAGGTGTGAGAGCCTCTGGTGGGTCTGCCTGCTGGGTCCTCCCATTGTCCTGGGGCCCCTGGCTGGAATCTGCCCTGAGTCCCCCTCACCCCACATGCTTCCCTTTAGGAACGTGCTCACACATGTGGCCACAGATATAAGAGGTAGACCTGCCCCAGCCTGCCTGTGCCGGAGCCAAGGCTCTGACCCTCTGGGGCTCTCTGCCATTGCTGTTCCCTCTGCCTACTCCCTCATCTCCTTGGCATCTCAGAGCAGCTGAGCTGGAGTGAATGAAGAAACAAAAATAGCAGCTATCACTCGCTCATGCCCAGCCCTGTGCTAAGCTTTCTTCTTTATTTTATTTTTTTCGGCCACACTCCGAGGCACGCAGGATCTTAGCTCCCCGACCAGGGATCGAACCCACGCCCCCTGCATTGGGAGCACAGAGTCCTAACCACTGGACATCCGGGGAATTCCCTGTGCTAAGCTCTTTGCTAATATTAACTCATCTTAATCTTCACAGCAGCCCTATGAGGTAGATACTATGATCCCCATTTTATAGATGAAGAAACTGAGGCACAGAGACTCATCCAAGGTCACAGACCTTGGAAGGCACAGAGCTGAGATTCAAACCCTTACTGAATACCAGGCACTTTTCCAAGTGCTGTATGTGTGTTAACTCTTTGAATCCTTATAAAAGCACTATAAGATTGGGATTATTATTATCTGCATTTTACAGAGGGGAAACTAAGGCCTAGAGAAGTGAGGTCACTTGCTTGGAGTTGGCCACGTCTGGTCGGAGCTTGGATTCTAACTCAGTGCTGGCTTAGTTGAAAACCCAGTCATTTCCACCCCTGCACTTTGTGGATCTGTCCCTAACTTGCCTTCCTCCCAGGCCTCCCTGTCTCCAGTGTTTCCTCATCCCCTAGAATCTGCCTCCAAAACCCAGCTCTGACTAACTTTTCAATGTTCCCGGCTCCAGAGTCTTCCATGGCTCCCCAGGGCCTGCCTGATAGCGATCAGGAGTTCAGTCCTGTGTTCACAGCTTCCTGTCTCCAGGCTCCTTTCTACGTTCAGCTTCCCTTTTCCCGTCCTGATCCCTTCTGCTGCTGCAAGGGAGCCGAAGTACACACTGTTCCCTGAACATGTTGCAGCCATCCTGCCTCCGCTCATTGCTCAAGCTGTTCCCACCACCCAGAATACCCCTCGCTTCCTTCTTGCTTCATTTTGAAATTCCATCTGACCTTAAAGGCCCAGCTACCTTCTCCCCCCTCCCTCACCTTCCTTCCTTCTCACATCCATCCTGTCCTCCTAATCAGACAACAGACAGTCCCAGGGTCCCTAATTTGTGTTTGGCCCCGTGTTGGCTTTGCTGGGAACACAGTAGTGACCCAGACACTGCCCGCATGGAGCTCCCAGGCCGGTGGAGGAGACAGACCCATCACCAGGCAGTGACAGCTCAGAGTGCTCAGGGCTGGGATGGGGGAAGCCCAGAGGGTTGTGGGAATCTAGAGAAGGTGACTGGCCAGACCTGGGGTATCAGAGCGGGCTTCCTGGAGGAGGAGGAGGAGATGTGAGCTGAGGCCATGATGAAGCCATCTGAGAAAGCCCAGATTAACCATCAGATCTAAGAAAAAAGAGAGAGAAGATACTGAACCTGCTTATGATTAAAAAAAAAAAAAAAAAAAGACATTTAATCAACCTCCTTCAACCCAAGCTACATTTTTGGAGCACCTATTGTGTGTCAGGCCATGGCTGGGGACACAGTTGTAACCATGACAACCCCAGTCCCTGCCCTCAAGACTTGTAATCTAGCAGGGCTGTAATGGATAAGCCCAGGGCAGTGGAGTCAGACCAGAGGTAGAACCCCAGCACTATGCTGTGTGATTTAGGCAGGTGACTTCACCCGTCTGAGTCTCTGTTTCCGCCTCTGTAACACAGTCAGCAGTCTTCCTGGGGTTGTGTTTTTAGGATTAAGTAGGTTATGGCACACTGAGCCTTTGTCATTGTGCCTGGAATGTTCCAGGTGCTTAGTAAACAGGAACCTTTATTCGTCACCTCCTCTTCACGGCTGGCAGCTGGAGAGGGGAGGGAATAGCCCTTCCTGAATCCTTCAGTCCAACCCCTGCCTGTGTTTGACCTTCCCACCATCCATTAGATGTCTGCTAGGTAGCTGGGCTCTGGTGGATAGGAGAGAACGTGGCCTTGACCCCGGGGTGGGGGGAGATGAGCCACATAGCTTTTTTCTCTGGAGAGGACTCATTCTCCCAATCCTTGCTAAGGGCCTGCTGTGTGCTTGGAGCAGAGAAGATATTCGTGTGTGTGCGCGCGCGTGTGCACACGTGCGTGTGCGTGCATATGCAAATGCAATGAATCAGGCAGTAACCAGGTCTCAAGAAGCTCTTGCTTGAGTCCACATGATACAACTAAATCCTTGTTTTCTGTTTGCTCCTCTGGTTTTTTGTTGCTCTCTCTCTGTCTTTCTCTGCATCTATGTTTCTTTTTCTTTCTCTGTCATTACTTTGTGTCTCCCATTCTGTCTTTCTATATTTCTTTCTCTTCTAGTAACTCTGTGCCTATCTCTGTGTCAGTTGGAAGAGGTCAGGGTTTGCTATAGTGACAAACAGACCCCAAACTCAGTGACTTGGAACAACAAAGGATTTCTTTTTTTTTTTGGCCCCGAGGCTTGCAGGATCTTAGTTCCCCAACCAGGGATTGAACCGAGGCACTTGGCAGTGAAAGCACGGAGTCCTAACCACTGGACCACCAGGAAATTCCCAACAAAGGATTATTTTCGTTCCTACTGCACACTGACTGTGGGTCAGTGGTGGCTGAGGCGGCCCTGCTCCATGCTGTTTTCTCTCAGCCTCTGTTTCTCTTCCTACAGTCCCCCACCCCTTTCTACACTAGGGAAAAGAACGTGGAGAGTCACTCGTTGGCTTTAAGGCTTCCACCCAAAAGTGACACTTCTGCTCACATGTCATTGGCCAAAGCTGAGTTCAAGAGGGTGGGCATATCCCTGGTAGGGGGACAGGCTGGAACTATTTGGTAAGCAGCTGTCATGACTGCTGCAGTCTCCATCTTTGTCCCTGTCTGTCTTTGTCATCACTTTGTCATCTGTCTCTGTTTCTGTCTCTCTCTGTGGTTCGGCCTCCATTCATCAACTCCTGCCTTTATCATTTTCCCTGGAACCACCTTTTTGATGTATATATGTCGAGGGACGATTTGGGAGTTGCTGGTGACTGCAACACAACCTAGCCTATCTCTGCTCCTTCGAGAAGGACAGAGAGACACAGATACAAAGTGATGACACCGAGACAAATGGACAGAGACTCTTCTCTGCCTTTGCTGAGGCCCCTGGGGAGTTTGTGATTGCACAAGTCAGTGAGCTTTGCTCACCGCAACAAGCTTGGGCCCAGGGATCCCAGGAAGCCCCCCTAAGGACCCCCGGTCCACCTTGGTTCCCTCTCATGGCAGCAGCGCCATCCCCCTCCATCCCCGGCCTTAGCCCTGACCCCACCCTTTCTGCCCCACACAGAACAAACCGTGGAAGAAGCTGAAGACAGTGCTGAAGTATTCGCCCTTCATGGTCTCCTTCCGAAAACACTACCCTTGGGTCCAGCTGTCTGGACACTCTGGTGAGCGCGGGGGGAGAAGGGCGGGTGGGGGACAGGCAGGGCTGGGCAGAGACGCCTGGGCGGGGAAGGAACTGCTGTTTGTACTTTAGTTCCCGCATCTGTAAAATGGGCTTGGTGACAGTCTCCAGCTCATGGGGCTTTTATGGAAAGTGCTTAGGCCCGGGCTGGGCCATTCATACATCAGGATGGAGGGCTGTTTCCTGTTATCCCGGTGGCAGTGGGCAAATCTTTGACCATGGGGACAGATGGGCCTGGGCTCAAATCCGAGTTCCGCTCTCTATTTGTGGATGACCCTGGGCAAGTTACTCTCCCTCCCTGGGGCTCAGTGTCCTCATCTCTAGTGTGAGATAATTGTCCCTCCCTTGCAGGGTAAACTAAAGGGTTAAAATCAAAATGTATATTGAGGGCTTCCCTGGTGGTGCAGTGGTTGCGAGTCCGCCAGTTGATGCAGGGGACACGGGTTTGTGCCCCGGTCCGGGAAGATCCCACATGCCGCGGAGCGGCTGGGCCCGTGAGCCATGGCCGCTGAGCCTGCGCGTCCGGAGCCTGTACTCCGCAACGGGAGAGGCCACAACAGTGAGAGGCCCACGTACCGCAATGTATATTGAGATTGAGAGACAGACCCCTCATAAATGGCAATTACCAGTCCCTGTCCTCACCCTGTGGCCAGAGCAGAGTAGGCCGCCAATAAACAACAGCTACAATGTTTTTTCCCCAGGACCTAGCACAATCTCTTTAGCACATAATAGCACAAGGCCTAGAATCTAGCATTTTTGGTAAAGGGCTAGATAATAGCTATAAACTACTCAACTCCGTTGTTGCAGCACAAAAGCCACCATAGTTAATATATAAATTTGTGAGTGTGTCTGTGTTCCAGTAAGCTTTTTTTTACAAAAACAGACTGTGGGCTGGACTAGACCAACTGTATCCACCAGCAAAGGGAGGCGGGAAGGGAACTTATCTGCCTGTTCATCCTTAGAACTGAGTCAGAGAAAGGCAAGGCCCCCCTAAAACTGTAAACACAGGCCTGCCATCTGTATGTATCCTAGTTACTATCGCTGAGTTTCAAAAATACCAAAAATGAAAAACTCAAAACTTAGTGGTGGTTTAAAAAAACAAACAAACAACTTAGTGGAATAAAACAGCCATTTGATCACACTCATAAGCTTCGGGTCAGGAATTCAGACAGAGCATGGCAGGCCTGGCTTGTTGCTGCGCCGTGATATCTGGGAATTCAGCTAGAACAACTCGAAGGCTGCAAGCTGGAGACCTTTGGAGGTTCATTCATTCACACACCTGGCAGTTGATGCTGGTTGTTGGCTGGTTCTCAGTTGGGGCTGCCGGCTGGAAAGCCTATATGTGACTTCTATGTGTAGCTGCTTGGGCTTCCTTACAGTATGGTAGCCTCAGAATAATCAGATTTCTTACATGGTAGCTCAGGACTTGAAAGGCAAGTGTCTCTGCCAACAAAGTGGAAGCTGCATCTCCTTTTATGACTTAGATCTGAAGTCACAGTGTTGCTTCTGCCATAAGCCCTCTCAGATTCAAGAGGAAAAGAATTAGATTCCACTTCTTGATGGGAGTGGCAAAATTCTAGAAGAGCATATGGGACATGAGCTACTGTTGCAGCCATCTTTGGAAAATATAATCTGAAAATACTATCTGCCTCAATAAGAATTTGTAATTCTGATCTACTCTATCTGCATGGCCCACAAAATGCCAGATTTGTAAATTAACAAGGCCCTGATTGTTAGCACTCTGGGACCCAGGCAGAAGCAAATGCAAATCTGCTTGGGAGAGTCATGCTCTTGACTCAGATCTCACAAAAATTCCCATTGCTGATCGAGAGCTCATAATCCAAAATTACAAAACAAATGAGGACACAGTGTGCTGTGAACAGGCCTCTGTTTAAACAAAATGCAGAACTAGGTCCTTCCTTCACCACCTCTGGCCAAGATTTTGAGAATTGCTGGTAGGGAGAGAAGGTATTGCAGAAGGGTCAGGCAAGATGATGGTGGCCAGGACCTGATACCTACAGGAGGTGGGGGAATTCTCTTGCTCATTCAGTTTTTTTTTTTTTTCTTTTTTTTGCGGTACGCGGGCCTCTCACTGTTGTGGCCTCTCCCGTTGTGGAGCACAGGCTCCGGACGCGCAGGCCCAGCGTCCATGGCTCACGGGCCCAGCTGCTCGGTGGCACGTGGGATCCTCCCGGACCGGGGCACGAACCCGCGTTCCCTGCATCGGCAGGCGGACTCTCAACCACTGCGCCACCAGGGAAGCCCTTGCTCATTCAGTTTTTGACCCTCTCATTGACTGCTGCTCATAGGGAACTTCCAGGCAGGAGAGGATGGTTGGATTCTAAAGCGTTTCTGTCAGTATGAGCAGCGCAGCCTGGAGCAGCTGATGCGCGACCCCCTGCGACCTTTCGTGCCAGCCTACTATGGCATGGTGCAGCAGGATGGCCAGGCCTTCAACCAGATGGAAGATCTCCTGGCAGACTTTGAGAACCCCTCCATCATGGACTGCAAGATGGGCAGCAGGTAGGTTCAGGGGCAGCCATGGGGCAGAGATGAAGGGTCAGGGGGACATTTTTGAAGATAGCGCCAAGCCAGTCTTCAGCATCCTTTCCTGCCATCCGTGTATGAGAGTTCTGTTCTATCTTCTCATCAACACTTTGTATTGCCTGTTTTATTACTTTTAACTATTCTGGTGAATAGCTATGGTTTTAATTTCGATTTCTCTGGTGACCAAACAACTTGAGCATTGATTGGCCATTGGATATCCTCTTTGAAAAGTGCCCATTTTTCTACTGGTCTCTCTTTTTCTTTTTATTATAAAGATGTATAATTCTTTATATATTCTGGATACAAGTCCTTTGCTGGAGATACACACACACACACACACACACTCCAACTCTCCCATTTCACTCTCTTAACGTCTTTTGATAAACAGAAGTTTTTTTTTAAATTAATTATTTAGTTAGTTAGTTTTGGCTGCGTTGGGTCTTTGTTGCTGCACATGGGCTTTCTCTAGTTGCAGCGAGCTGGGACTACTCTTTGTTGCGGTTGCAGTGCACGGGCCTCTCATTGCGGTGGCTTCTTTTGCTGCGGAGCACGGGCTCTAGGTATGCGGGCTTCAGTAGTTGTGGCTCACAGGCTCTAGAGCTCAGGCTCAGTAGTTGTGGTACACAGGATTAGTTGCTCCACGGCATGTGGGATCCTCCTGGACCAGGGATTGAACCCGTGTCCCCTGCACCGGCAGGCAGATTCTTAACCACTGCGCCACCAAGGAAGTCCCGAGAAGGGCTTTTAATTTAGTACAGGTTGTCAATTTTTTTCATTATGGTTAGTAGCTTTGTGTTTAAGAAATCTGCCTACTGTAAGTTCACAAAGATCTTCTCCTATGTTTTCTTCTACAAGCTTTGTTTTAATTATCACATTTAGATCTGCAATCCACCTAGCTTTAATTTTTGTATATGGTCTGAGGCAGGGATCAAGGTTCATTCCCCTCTCCCCACCGCTGTATGGACATCCTATTGACCTAGCACCATTTATTGAAAAGACTGCCCTTTCCCCACTGAATTGTGGTGCCTTCTTTTTCATAAATTGGGTGAACGTACGTGTGTGTCTGTTTGTGGACTCTGTTCTGGTCCATTGATCTATTTGTCTATTCTTGTACCACACTGTAGTTTTGTAACATGCCTTGATATCAGAGAGTGTAAGTCCTCCAGCTTTGTTCTTCGTAATTTCCCTTGTTATATCCTCTGTGTCCCAGGACCTACCTGGAGGAGGAGCTGGTGAAGGCGCGAGAACGGCCCCGGCCCCGGAAGGACATGTATGAGAAGATGGTGGCTGTGGACCCTGGGGCCCCGACGCCCGAGGAACATGCCCAGGGTGCAGTCACCAAGCCCCGCTACATGCAGTGGAGGGAGACCGTGAGCTCGACCTCCACCCTGGGTTTCCGGATCGAGGGCATCAAGGTGAGGGCCAGGAGCTGCTAGCCTGTTTGTAGAGGGCTAAGAGCTAGATCTGAGGCAGGGCTTCCCGAGGAACCAGGGTGTCAGAGAAAGCAGGAAAGAAGCAAGATCTGGAGAGAGAGCAGGAGACTGCAGAGGATGGAAAGATGCGCTAGGAGGGTTCCTGCTTCCCTCTTACCCCTGTGTCTATCACAGACCAAGTTCTGTTTACCCATCTGTCTGAAGGTCTCTTGATTCCATCTTCTTTCCCCTCCCCAAGACCAAGACCCTGTCCTAGTCCAGCCGCATCTTCTCCTGACTCAGCTTCCCTGGCTTCCCAGATGCTGGTCTCACCTCCTCTGATCCATCATCCAACACGGCAGCTGGAGGGGCTTTTTCCTCCTTATGGAGAAAAATGTTCTCTTTTCTTCTTTATTTCTTTCTTCAAAAGTTGTTTATTTTATTTATTTATTTTTGGCTGTATTGGGTCTTCGTTGCTGTGCGCGGGCTTTCTCTAGTTGCGGAGAGCGGGGGCTACTTTTCGTTGCGGTATGCGGGATTCTCATTACGGTGGTTTCTCTTGTTGCGGAGCATGGGCTCTAGAGCACAGGCTCAGTAGTTGTGGCGCACGGGCTTAGTTGCTCTGCGGCATGTGGGATCTTCCTGGACCAGGGCTCGAACCCATGTACCCTGCATTGGCAGGCGGATTCTTAACCACTGTGCCACTAGGGTAGCCCCTTTCTTTCTTTTTTTTGTAAATTAAATCTAATCGTTTGAATAGCTATTCACACAGCTCGAAAGTCAAAATAATATTATAAAAGGGTATATAGGAGAAATCTCTCTCCCAACCCTGTTGCCGTCCTTCCCATTCTGTCCCTCTACCACCCCCTCCTCGTGGGGAACCACTTTATCAGTTTCTTATATTTCTTCCTGTATATACAAACAAATGCAGTTGTATATACTACCTTTTCCTCCCATTTTTAAATTTATTTATTTGGCTGCGCTGGGTCTTAGTTGCAGTATGCAGGATCTTTTTAGTTGCGGCATGTGAACTCCTAGTTGTGGCATGTGGGATCTAGTTCCCTGACCAGGGATTGAATCCGGGCCCCCTGCATTGGGAGTGTGGAGTCTTAGCCACTGGACCACGGGGGAAGTCCCTCCTCCCTTTTTCATTTTTACAAAAGGTGGCGTAGTCCTGGAGAGTTTCCCATATCATTTCGTAGAGAGATAGGAGATCCTCTTCCTCCCTCCCTCCCTCCCTTCCTTCCTATTCCTTCTATAATAGCTCTTTGTGGATGTGCCACAGTCCCCTATAGATGGCACAGTGAAGCACTTTCATTTCTTTGAAAGGGTCCTGTTCTCTCCTGCCACAGGTCCTCTGCACGTGCTGTTTCCTGTGCCAGGAGTACTTTTCCCCTGTTCCCCTGGTTGACTGACTCCCAGTCATTTTCCCGACTCCTTCCAAATTTCACTTCCTCTGGGAAGCCCTCCTTGAGTTCCATCCGACTAGTTCAGGGTCTTTACCTCCTTATAACTCCCTATACTCCATTATTCTTATCTCCCTTTGTGATGATCTTATTCAGTATTTGCATCCCTCATCTATGCTGTTACCTGTGCTGTTACCTCCATGTTACCATTGCCCACAGGGCACCTGGCACAGCATGGCAGAATGACTCAGGGGGCTCTCTGTGCCCCTCGCAGACAAAAAATAACATTAGTCTCTTCTACTGAGTGCTTACTTACTATGTGCCAGGCACTGTGCAGTGTATCCTACACACCCAATCTCTCCTCCTCCTTATACCAGCTTTAGGAGGTAGAGACTAACACAATTCTCATTTTCCAGATGAGGAACTCCAGGCTGAGGCAGGTGAAGTGACTTGCTTAACGCCACCTAGCTAGGAATTAGCAGAGCCATGATTCAAAGCCAGATCCACCCGGCTCCAAAGCCCACCTGGCTAGATTGGCTCAACCAGGGGGTTCAAGGTTAGACTTGAAGGACTGGTTGCTCAGGAGTATGACTTGGGGCTAGGCGGGTGGGCTAGCTTCCCCTGAACAGCAAGTGAGCCTGGAGGTGGGTAGGTGGCCCCTGGAAGTGCCTGAGGCTGCTTGGTGTTGGGCGTGGGAAGGAAAAGGTATGACACCCCTCATCCTCTAGAAAGCCGATGGGACCTGCAACACTAACTTCAAGAAGATGCGGAAACTGGAGGAGGTGACAAAGATGTTGGAGGACTTTGTGGATGGGAACCGCGGAATCCTGGTGAGCGGGACACCTATGCCCCCAAATTTAGCAGCTTAGGACCACCACCATCATTGTTCCTCCCACGTCAACAGTCTCTTGCCTTGGGCCGAGGTTGGCTGACACTGGCTGGCATTGCTCACCAACAGGCCAGCTGGTGGGAGGGCCCTGCTCTCATGTCTGGTGGCTGCCTTACTGTCTCGGCTCCTGGCTCAATCCAGCAGACTAGCCTGGGCTTGTTCTCACGGTGGAAGCAGCGGGCCAAGAAAACAAGTGAAAAAGCAAAGCGTATCGGTGGCTAGGCTCAGAATGGCCACCATCATTCTCGCCATGTTCTATTGGCCAAAGCAAGTCATAAGACCAAGACTAGATTACAAGGGAAAGACTCCACCTCTTGGTGAGAGGAGCTGCTAGGAATTGTGGGTATTCATGTAATCTACCAACCACACTCTTTTTTTTTTTTAATTTTTATTTATTGTGTTCATTTATTTATTTTTGGACGCATTGGCTCTCCATTGCTGCACATGGGCTTTCTCTAGTTGCAGCGAGCAGGGGCTACTCTTTGTTGTGGTGTGCGGGCTTCTCATTGTGGTGGCTTCACTTGTGGTGGAGCACAGGCTCTAGGAACGTGGGCTTCAGTAGTTGTGGCACACGGGCTCAGTAGTTGTGGCTCACAGGCTCTAGAGCACAGGCTCAGTAGTTGTGGTGCACGGGCTTAGTTGCTCCGTGGCATGTGGGATCTTCCTGGACCAGGGCTCGAACCCGTGTCCCCTGCATTGGCAGGCGGATTCTTAACCACTGCGCCACCAGGGAAGTCCCCAACCACAGTCTTGTCTGTGCCACCCTGATGCATCCAACCCCTGCCCCCCCCACCTCCCATTTCCCCATGGCCCCCTTTACCCCATTCTGGCTGGGGTATGCCTACTCCTTTGGGGGTATGGGATGAGGTCAGATGTCAAGGTGGGTAAGGACCCACAAAGTCCATAAGCTAACCAAGAAATCCTCCGTCTCATGCACAGAAAAAGTACGTGGCACGCCTAGAGGAACTCCGTGAAGCTCTGGAGAACTCCCCCTTCTTCAAGACCCACGAGGTGCGAGCCCCGGCCACCATGGGAACAGAGGGCCCTGTGTGAGGGGGAGTGTCGGGGTCCGGGTGGTACTCGTTAGAAACCACCAACAGGGTCACAGGCCAAAGCTATAAAAGGAAGCCCCGAGTTCTGGGGTTTGCTTCTTTAGGGTAGGCAGCACGAGGGATTGCAGGGAGGTGGGACAGTTAGGAGCATGGACCCCAGCCAGGTGGCCTTGGGATGAGGCTGGCTCTGCCGCGTGACCCTGGGCCTATGACCTACCCTCTCAGGCCTCAGTTTCCTCCTGCCGTGGGGAGGAACAATAGTACCTTCCTTACAGAGCTGCTGAGGTGGGAGATGAGCAAATGCAGAGCGCCGTGAGGAGCACAGAGGGGCTCTCGACTCCTAGCTCTTGTGGTTATTTTATACCCGTGATGATTTACAGTTCTTGTTACCTGCCTTCCTCCTCTGGTGGCTGTCCCCACTCCCCTTTCCTCTCTCTCCGTTCCGCAGCCTGTGTCTCTTTGGAAACATTCATCTCTCTGAGGCTGTCTCAGAAAGTCTGTGGTGACATCACTGTGTCTATCTCCAAGTTCTTCCGCCTCCCCGCTCAAGCCCCTCTCTCCTCTTTTTCCTGATATCACTGACTTCTGAAAGAGCACCGATCTGGGCGTCAGGCCAGCCTGTGTTCGAATCCCAGCCACCTGAGCCTAGGCAGCAGCTCCGCAGGCCTGTCTCCTGACCTGTAGGACAGGGTAACGGTAGCACCTGCCGCATGGGTGTAACGAAGGTTAAGTGGATTAATATAGTTAAAGCCCAGCCCATAAGAACCCTGCAGTATGTGCCAGCTTTTATGGTCACGTTTGTTATCACCAAACATCACCCTCATCACCCTTGTTACTGCCTTTGAGCTTTACACGCAAGTCACAAAGAGGAGGCCTGGGGACCCCACCTCTTATGTCCTCAGGTTTGGTTTCACCTGCCCGGTGACTAAACATTAAAAAAAATTAGTTGCCAACATTGAAAACTGATAAAGATGTAGAGTTCACACTAAAATCGGGATTTCCAGTTTCCCTTGGCACCACGAGAGACACGGTAACCCTGGGCCGCTCGCCACATGCCAACAGCCATCCAGAGCTGGGCAGCGTCTGCCTCTTCTGACAGCCGCCTGCTTGCCTGCCCAGTCATCCGGGTTCTCTGGGAGCACTGGTGTCTGAAACCCGGCTAGAAAAAGGGAGAGGCTTGCAAACCTGGCGTTAGATGAAGGGAAGGAATGTATTTCTAACTAAAAAAGAAAAAATAACCCAGTGTCTCCGGAGGGCTGTGTGGCCAGCTCCACGAGGCAGCTTGTGAGCTGTGGAACGTGGAATGCTGCAGTGACCCCAGGAGGTGGGGCAGTTACCATCACCCCCATTCTACAGATGAGGAAACTGAGCTGGACAAAGGAAGCCACTTGCCTGGCGTCACCAGCAGCAGTCCGCTGGGGCTGAGTGGTTGCTGCCCCTTCCCGCGGGGAGGCATTATCCACTCCCTCAGTCCCCGCCAGACCCCTCTGACGGCTTCAGGATCCTGCGGGCATTTGAGTTTGTACCCCAGCTTGAAAAAGGATAACAGTTAACACTGTTTTGCATTTGTTTATACGGGCAACTCTTCTAAGAGCTTTCTGTGGATTAATTCACACATATAATATGCACAGCAACCTTTGAGGTAAACGGTACTCTTATTCCGTTATTCCCACTTTGTACATGAGGACACAGAGATAAGGAGAAGTTAAGTCCCCCGCCCAAGGCCACAGAGCCGTAAGTGGCAGAGCTAGGGTTTGAACCCAGGCGGCCTGGCTCCAAAGTTCATGCCGTCAGCCACCCTACCCAGCAGTCTGTGGGGCCGGGGCCTTGGCCAGTGCCTGCCCCTCCCTCTAACCTCCTGCCTCTCCCTCTGCAGGTGGTAGGCAGCTCCCTCCTCTTTGTGCATGACCACACCGGCCTGGCCAAGGTCTGGATGATCGACTTTGGCAAGACAGTGGCCCTGCCTGACCACCAGACGCTCAGCCACCGGCTGCCCTGGGCCGAGGGCAACCGCGAGGACGGCTACCTCTGGGGCCTGGACAACGTGATTCACCTCCTCCAGGGCCTGGCCCATAGCTGACCTGCTCGCCCACCATCACGTTTATTTATTGCATGGTGCCCGTGTGGCCGGAGGGGCCCCGAGATGCATGGGGGCCTGAAGCCCAGGGATGGGAAAGGTTGCACTGCACACCACGCAGGACCAGTGCAGAAGATGCAGAGGGCCTTGGCGATCAGGTGGCACCGCACCCTCGGGGGCGGGGAGGTTGTTAAGAGCCCGAGAGGTGCGTGCCCTGGCTGGGTCCTGCGGTGAGTCAGAACCAGACTGGGTCCCCTGACCAGCCAGGAAGGCTTCTGAGGGGCTGCAGAGGCCCTGAGAGAACACAGTGCATGTACTGCAGGGCACGGGCGTGACCTCAGGCCTGTCACCACATGGATGACTGTAACCTCGGCCTCCTCGTCAGCCCCTCCCTCTACGAGCTGGCCCCTCGCAGGCCCGAGAACCAGACCTCATTTGTGAGCAAATGTAGCAGCCCTTGGTTGGCCCGCCCGGGAGAGTTATAGCCCAGTCTCTTCATCTGGGGTCCCTCCAAGTGCTGACAGAGGCTTTGAGGGTGTGGCACCCTGGGACTGGCTTGAGAGCTGCCACCGCTGGGCAGGGCCCAGTTCACCCTGTCCTACCCGCCCTTGGCCCCATGGGCTCCTGCCCTGCTCCTGGGAGAACTCTGCTGACCCCCCTGCAGGCTGAAACCACAGCCATGTCCCATGCCAGCACTGTGACCAGCACAACCTTGTTCCTCAGGCCTCAGCCTCGGGACGTCCTCCTTCTGCCCTTTACCCTTTTCTGTCTCCTCCCTCCTAGCGGACTGTGGTGGCAGGAAGGGCATTCAGAAGGAAAAGGGAAAAGCAGGCTTGGGAACCAGCTGCCTTCCTCGGGAGGGCCCCCATCCCTGGCCTCTACTGTGAAGAGGCCCCGCTTGGGCCTGTGGTGCAGGGTAGGTGGGCCTGCAGCCTGGTCCAAACCAAAGACCCCAGCACTCTGAGGTGTGGGTGGTGCCCCTCTGTCCTCCTCCTGCTCCTAACTTTGGGTTCCTGGCCTACAAGGCTGGGCTTGGGGAGGACAGGTGCCCCCCCTCTCCCTTAGCCAAAGCTCTAACGTGGTCTTCCGGCTGACGTGTGCTCCTTTTCTACTGACCATCTTTATACTTATTTATATGAGAGGTAGTTGTTAAGACGGGGCAGCGCTGGGGAACAGGAGGCAAAACTGCTTCACTGCCTTCCCATGACGACACCCCAATAAACAGCACATTTACAGTCACCTTTGTCTTTTGCATCTGGGGTTTGTGGGCTCAACGCTCGTAATTGGAGCAGTAGCGCTGGGTGGGGTGATGGGATAGTGATGGTCTGGGGTAGAGGCAGGCTCAGAGTGGGCAGGTTCATTCATCCGCTTCACCGAGTTGCTACTCTTGTGCCTGGCTGTGTGCAGGGGACACAGGAGTGACCAAGACAACTCCAAGCCCTGTCCTCCAGGGCTCCCAGGACAGTGCACCAGATATAGTGCCACCCAGGGTGTCAGGGCTGGGGTGGGTAAGAAACACTACACTGTAGTTTCTAATAAAACCCTTTGTTGGGCATGGGGGACACAGCAGTGACCAAGACAGATCTGTTCCTCCCCTTTCGGAATGGATGCAATAGGTATTCGTTAAATGCTCTCTCTCGTTCCCTGTCCCCCCTCCCCCATCTGCCTGGTTTGAATCCCGGCCCTGCCGCTTGCCAGCCATGTGACCTTAGGCCAGTGACTGCGCTTCTTCAGGCCTCAGTCTCTCCGTCTGTCAAACAGGGAGGATCTAGTACCTTCCTTACAGGGTTGGAGGATTTGATGAGTTAACGGGGTGAAGGGGTTGCCACAAATAACTAGTCTTAGAGGCTTTTGCTTTTGTTTTTAAATCAGAACACACAGGTGGAGGAGGTGCTCAGCCAGAGGGAGTCTTCCCAGAGGAAGTGACAGGAGCCAGGGTAGAGCAGTTCCAGAATTGTCTGTGACACAGGGCTGGGGGGTGGGGGAGACAGGACATCTAGGCACCTGAGAGGCCACTATGCCTGGCTGGTGGCAGAAAGCGTGAGGAAGAACAGCCTGGGGTAAGGGAGGTGACCTGGGGCGGGGTGAGTTTAGTCCCTGCCCTGCAAGAAGTATGCCGCGCCGCACTGCGTGGCATGCAGGGTCTCGAGTTCCCCCCGACCAGGGATCGAACTGTACCCCCTGCAGTGGAAGCGTGGAGTCCTAAACACTGGACCGCCAGGGAAGTCCCTGGTTTGCGTTTTAAAAGGCTTCCCTGGCTCCACATGGACAGACACTGGGAAGCAGCAAGGGGTCCAGAGAGACGGCGGGCAGCAGCCAGAAACGGGTGGCTGCAACACCGAGGTGGGGTGGACAAGCCCTGGGGTCTGAGCGGTTGTCGGTCTCTCCCTTGCAGAGAAGGAGCTTGTCTGTGGGGCTCCTGGCTCTAACCCCAGCCCAGAGTAGGTGCTCAATACTGGGGGACGGGCTTGGGGGAGCTGAGGCCCAGGATTGGGACTGGATGGAGTCGGGGGGGACCCTGCATGAAAGATCTCTGGTTGGAGGTCCTCAGAGATCCAGCCCAAGCCCCCAGGCTGTCGTACAGAGGAGAAGATGGGGCACTCTGTGAATGGTGACACAGCTGAGCTGTGGCTGCGCCCCGTCACCCCGGCTTGGGGCTGCAGCAGGCTAGTGGCCAGAGTCCTGTGGTCGGAGGAGCAGGGCCTGGCCGCAGAGGCCGGCCCGCACCCCACCGACGGGCACCACGTACTCCCGGCCATCGGCAGCCCGAGAGGGCGAGAAGTCCGTCAGCTGCAGGTTGCTGTCCCGGACTTGGTCGTAGTCCCACAGCTGGTAGTGCCAACTCTTGCCCTGCTTGGCGAGAAGGTAGACGGCTCCTGGGGAGCCTTCCTCTGGCAGGGATGGTGGCTGGCGGGGCGTGCCGGGTGCTGGGTGGAACAGGCCTGGCAGCTCAGGGTCCTCCTCGTAGCCGAGGCTGGGCATACCATGCACACCCAGCAGGACTCCTGGGAGGAGAGAGGGAGGCTGTGAGTGGGAGCTGAGCCCTGACGAGGGGCGGGGGCTCCCTGAGTCCCACCACAGCCCTCCAGGGTAGGTGCTACCTCCATCCCCACACTGTCAGAGAGGTCAGCACGGGCCAGCAGGCAGACAGCTGGGCTGGGATTTAGACCCATGGTGTTGTGCTCTAGAGCTACAGGCATTTTAAGTCCGGCCTCCAACAGCCTGTCAGCACAGGGAGGTGCCGAGGCGGCACTGAACAGCGCAAACATCGTCAACTAGTTGTCACCAGCTGTCCGGAAGAGCACTGCTCAGAGAGGCACGCACACAAGGGAGCCTCCGTCCAGGCCACCTGACGTGCAACTCTGGCCTCTCAGGCAGGTGCAGAGACGAGGATGCTGACTGTAGCTAACACTTACCGAGACACGTAACATACCAGGCACCATTCAGAGTTACGTCCTCTGCCTAAGATGTGGGTGCGACTTTTGCCTTGATCTCCAGATATAGGGCAATGGAGGCCCAGAGTCACAGAGCCTGGAAGTGGCTGGACCAAGTCTGCAGCCCAGACTGTCTGATCCTTGTCTGCGCTCTGAGTTTCTGTTGGTGGAAAACCCTGATTGGCGGACACTGAAGTCCCTGTTGCTGGCCAGGTCCCTGCTAAGTACCCTGTAGGGACAGGGATGGCCCAATCCTGGTTCCTGCCTTGGGTAGTGGGGAGGTGCCAGTGCGAGGGTAGGAATGTGAGGAGGAGAGACGGGGCTGGGGAGATCCAGGGTGAGGGCACAGGGCATGGGAGGGGGGACCCACCTGCACTCACTGCCCAGTGGGCCTTGTGGCCCTTCCTCTGACACGGCTCGTGGTTGAAGTCCTCGTCATAGCTGGCACTGGGGTTAAGGCCAAAGCTGTGGTGTGGCTGTGGGACCCACCCGTCTCCACCCCTGCCCTGCTGCTCCCTTCCTGACCCTGGGATACGGGATAAGCAGGGGATGTCCGGCGACAAGGTGCTGCAGGACGTGGTCTCTGTTGGGACCACCCAGGCCGCCGTAGAGCACCTCTGCCTGGCAGCCCAGTGCCTCTTGGGCCAGCCTGCCCATGTCAGTCACTGCAGGGACAGAGCAGCACAGAAAGAGCGATCGCTGTGTGCCTGGCACCATGCCAAAGGCTTTCGGGAATCAACGCCTATAACTTTCGCCTTGACCATCACCTCTTTGAAGAAATGCAGAAAATGAGGGACAGAGAGGGTCAGCTGCTTGTCCATGGCCACACAGTAGAAAATGGCAGAGCTGGGATGGAAACCCCAGGTGGCCTGGCTCCAGAGTCCACCCTGTGACACTCTGCTCTACTGTGGGGGGACAAGGGCCCAAAGAATGGAACAAAGGTCCCTTATGTGCCCGGTGTGTCCTAGCCAAGCTCTCCAGTCCCCTCCTGCAGAACACCTGGCTTGAATCCCTTCCACACCCAACCTACCTGAGAACATCTCCCCCTGGGCCGTGTAACCTCTCTCCATGGCCACCTGCACCAGTCTCTCCAGGGGGGTGCCGCTGAGGGGTGCCAGGAGAGTGCCTGCCATCCACAAGGCCACCAGCCCGCACCTGGGGAGACACAGGCCCAGGCCCCCAACCCCTAACTCGTGTCTTTCCTGGGCCCCCTCTCGCCTGGAAACTGGAGTGTGGGGAACAGGTTTGCCGCCCTAGGGGAATTCCCTTCTCCTCCCCCAGGCCAAGTGCAGAGACCTGACTCCCCTTCCTGGGACAGAGGCTGGCCAAAGCCTGAACCAGGGCTGGAGGGCTGGGGGTGTGGGTGGGAGGGTAGGGAGAGATGTCACCTGGGCTTCTAGGAGGAGCAGGTGCCAAGGTGGAGTCAGAGATAATGGACCAGGTTCATTTGTTCACTTGCTTATTCGTTCCAACTGTTTACTGCGCATGCACCCAGGACCCTCACCTGGTAGGTTCCCCCTCTCCCTCCCCTCCTCGGCCTCCTCCTTCTCCCCAGGCTGCCTGGCGTGAACCCACTCTTCCCACACTCCTGGGTCAATCCTCACAAAGCCTGGCGAGGGCAGAGGCTCAGAACGCACGGCCGGCCAAGGGGTTGGGGTCCCCGATTAGGGCACGTACTGAGGGCCTTCTTGGATGAGGGAGGGCAGGTCAGCACAGAAGAGGATCCACTGCAGGTCACTTCTGAAACTGAATGACAGTCGAATTCAGGTCACGCGGCAACCAGCTCCTAGGGTCCCCCCATCGAGGGCTGGCTGGGAGTGGGGTGTCAGGGATGGTGAAGGGGAGGAGCATGGGCTCAGCTGTCCTGAGGCCCGAGGGCCGCTCTTGGCTGGGTCCGACTTCCTTCATCCCTGTTGAGACTCCTCCCCTCCCCAGCCTCAGTTCCCTCATCTGCTCAGTGGGAATCATCCTTCTGCCTGCTCCTCCCTGCTCTTCCTCTCAGTTACTGAAGGGGCAAAGAGCAGATGTGCAAAAGCTTTGCAACTAGGAGCCAGAGGGATTAAATTATTAGAAGGGGTGTCTCTACACCATGGATGAAAAAATTAATCGATAGTCAATCTAAGAAAGAAAGAGAAAATTTTATTCGAGCCAACCTGAGGGTTATAACCTGGGAGAGTCTCTCAGAATGCTCTGAGGACTGTTCCGCCTGTGAGAGATCAAAACACAGTTATATATGTTTTTTTGAGACAAAGGGTTGGTTATATGTCAAATGACACATTATTGACAGTTTACTCAATCCAGATCTACAAGTACAAAGCAAGTTATGGGTCATGGGTCATTGCGATCCCTTAACAAAGTTAAGAAGGAAAGCCGTCTCCTAAGGAGTTGTGACCCTTGATGAGATCAAGAAGAAATGTTATCCCCTAAGGAGGTCCGGTTAATGCGAACGCACAATACACGCTAAATGGGAGGGAGGAGGCCCCAGTGGGCAAAGAAAAATGTCATGTTTAAAATTCTCTTGTCTTGCCATAAAATATGAATTTTATTTTATCAATACCCAAACTCTGAATGTCTTTCCCCTCTCAAACCCGTTTTTCAGGCAGTTAGATAAGGTGGGAATCCCTTCCACTCAGCCTTGAGCAAAACCAGGTAACAACTGCTCCAGGCCTAAGAGATCACCTTGATAGACTCCTCACAGGCTTCACCAGCCCCATTCTTGGGGAGGCCACTCAATATTTTGGTGATCCCAGCCCCTCCCCCCTCTCCCCCACCAGGGCTCAGGAGGTGCCGGGCAATGTGCTTATATTTCTATCCCAAAGCCAGTGAAAGAGTAAGGTTGAGGGGGGCAACTTCCTGATGAAAGGAGATGATTATCCGCACAGTGGTTCAAAGCAGGGAGCCCCAGTGCCATGTCCCACCGTGGCTAAGTGACTTCACCTCTATGAGCCTCAGTTTCCTCATGTGGAAAATGGGATAATAATAGTTCCTATCTTGCAGGGGGAGGGATAAATTAGGAGTCTGGAATTAACAGGTGCACACTACTGTCTATAAAATAAGATCTACTGGACAAAAAGGATCTACTGTATAGCACAGGGAACTATATAGTCAATATTTTGTAATAACCTATGAGGGAAAAGAATCTGAAAAAGAATATATACAGACGTATATATGTATGTTTTTACATATATATATATCTGAATCACTGTGCTGTACACCTGAAACTAACATGACATTGTAAACCGATTATACTTCAATTAAAAAAAAACAGTTCCTGTCTCATGGAATTCCTGAGGTTAAATTAATACGTAAAAACGCTTAGAACAGCACCTGGCATACAACAGGTAGTTGTTACTTGCATTAAATTTGCCTCATTATGGGGGAATTCCCCAGCGGTCCAGTGGTTAGGACTCTGCACTTCCATTGCAAGGGGCACGGGTTCAATCTCTGGTCAGGGAATTAAGATCCTGCAAGCTGTGCAGCACAGCCAAAACAAAAAACAAAAAATTTGCCTCACTATGGTTGGGGCGTTTAGTGCAGATTATAAACTTGTCTAGAGAGCTGGAAGTTTCTTCGGTGAGTCTGGGCAGGTCACTTGTCTCTCTTCCCTTCAGCCCCGGCCCAAGTCTAGCCCCCTCCCCTCCTGCCTGATCTCCTGGTGCTCCAGCTTCCTCCTGGGCCCCAAGACTCCAATCTCACCACTCTACTCCTCGAAGGCAGTCTCTCTCCCTCCCTGGAAGGGCACAGATCCATTCCACAGCTCCCCAGCGCCCTCAGGACAGTCCACCTTCCTTCACACGCCTGCCCCCCCATGCCCTGTGTGGTCTGCTCCTGCCCACCTGGGAAACCCCACATGTGCCACCTCCTCTGTCCCAATAAAGAAATATTTGCAGGTCCTTGAAAAGAACATCTTTTCATGTCACTCTGGGCCTGGGCACAAGCTGTTTACTCTCCTCATCACGTGCCCTGGCATAACTTGCTCCACAGCACGCAGGGATCCCCTCCTTCAGGCAGGCCCCACTGACCCACCAGCCTCGGTCGGGCACTCCCTCTGGGCTCCCTCCTCACGGCTCTGACCACTCTGGGCTGTCACTGGTGGAGGGAGGGATCTGTCTCTCCCACTGGACGACGTGCTCTTGTGAGGGCAGCTTTCCTCATTGCTGAAGACACACCGCCACTGAAGGGGTCTAAGGAAGGGGGCTGAGGCAGTCAGACTGTTTGACCTTGAGGAAATGGGAAACCCCAAGAGGAGATGGCAGCAGTGATCTGGGGACAAGTGGTTGGGTGAGACCCTGGGTGGGTGGGTGGGAAGGGGCATGGGGACCCTACCGGTTCTTGTGCAGCTTCAGGAGCCTCTTCACGTCCTCTCTGCTCCTGGGGACTGGGCCGGCCCTCTCCAAGGCCTCCTTCAGGAGCTGGCTCTTCTCCAAGCCGAAGACGTGAGGGGGAGAAAACCTGGTGGTAGGGGGTGGAGGCGGCAGTGGGGGCGGTGGGGGAATAGGGGTCTGGAGACTTGAGGGAGAGGGTGGAAAAGCTAATTCCGGGAGGTTTGGGGGTAGGGGAGGAGGTGGAATTATGGGGGCCTGGGATGCAGGGGTTTGAGGAGGAGGAATTGGTGGCTCTAAAGAAGGAGAGCATGGAGAAATCATTTTGGGGTCTGTGACTTGGGTTGGAAGATGGAGAATGAGAGAGGGAAGGATCCTCCAAAAGGTGCTGGTCGCAGGGATGGAGGTTTTGAAGGTTTTAGAACTGCGTTCCAGATTTTGGGGCCTGAGCAGTGGGACTGAAAACACCAGGGCTAAAATCTGGAACCTTGGGAGCTGGGATTGAGGCTGACTTAAACCACAAGGAATCTGAGGGTTAACGGGGTCCTTTAATGTACAACCAGATTTGTGGTATAAGTTGGGATGCAGGGCTCAAGGAGTGACACTTAGTAGGAGTTAACTTCTTATCCCTGGCTAGATTTGGAAACCTGGTGTTCAATTTCAGGACATGAAAGCGCAGACCTGGGACGAGGCACCAAAAGCGTCGGATTTACGGCCCCAGTGCTAAAGACTTGGGGAATTTAGAATAGATCGCCCCTTCGCATCCCAGACCCGAGTTTGGAACCTTAGAGCTGACCTTTGAGTCAGAGGTCAAGAGGTCAAAAGGACACCTGGACAGGGAAAACAGCCTAGTTGTGGAGAAAGTCCTGAAATCAGAGCGGAACAGGAAGAGTCTTGTGGGGAGGGGAAGGCTCATAGATCGGAGGTCGTGGGGAGCCGCGATGCCGCTGGGATAGGGTACGGAGGCGGGAAGTAAGACGCACCTCCCCTTCCAGCAAAATGGCGGCCGCAGCGCACAACCGCTCCCAAACCCGGAGGTAAAACTCGCAACTCGTGTCCGCCCCTTTAACAATCACGTGACAGAGAACGCGTAGCGGCTGGGGAGAGGGGGGGCTTCCAAAGAAAGGCCTCCGAAGAGACGGCCGCAGGAACCGCGTTCCGATTGGCAAGAAGCGCGAGAGGGGGCGCGGCCTTCACTGATTGGTCCGTAGCCCCGTGTGCCGCAAAAGGAGGAGGGCTTGCAGGCGGTGGGCGGAGTTTTCCTGCCGAGGCGGGAACCCAAGTATCGTTTTGATTGGCAAAATCTTGACCCAGGATTCTGATTGGCCAAGCTACCAGGTTTCCGCGCAGGGATTGGCTTGTAGAAAAACAAAGGCGGGACCAGGAGAGGAAGTTTTGTGGTCGGCGCTCAGCAACGTAGCAGAAGCCACTTGCGGGAGCTGAGACTCTTTCTGTGAGTATCCTTGGGCGCAGGCGGCCATGGGCGCCTGGCGGGTGGAGGGCTTGGCGCCCGGGTCTTCCGGCGCCTTGTGTTGGGGAATTCTTTTCCTGCTGCTCGAAGCCAGGGCTCTGCAAAGTCGTCCCTCCCTCCTTAACTGTCTCTACATCCGGGCTTTTTCTCCTGGACCGCCTTTGAGGTCGTGGGCCAGTGGGAATCGCCACCTAGGACACTCGCCTACTGAGTCGCGTAGAGCATCCTGGGACTCGTAGTAAACCTCACGAGATTTCCCTCACCACGCGGGGAAGAGAAGCGGTGTCCTGCGTTTGCTTTGTTTTCCGAGCTGTTCTTCCCTCTTCCCTTCTCTCTCCTTTACCTGACTTCCTCTTGAAAGGAAGATCCCTAAACAGCCCGCGTTGGGACGAAGGATTTGCAGAAACCCAGGGCTGAGTGGGACTTTTTAATTCTTTCAGCCCTACCTCAGCAACTCACTCCATGGCAGTTCCCGAGACCCGCCCCAACCACACTATTTATATCAACAATCTCAACGAGAAGATCAAGAAGGATGGTGAGTTCTTGGGATAGTCCGGACTCCAGGCTATCCCGCAAGAGCCGGCTCCCTCTTCTGTCCCCAGCATCCATGTCTCTTCCTCAGCCTTGTCCACTCAAACTGTTAGAGTTAACCCCTCGGCCTTTGCACATGCTGCTTCCTCTGCCTTTAACATTTCCTCAGTTCATCTTACGCTCTGCCCATTAACCTGGTCACTTACTCATGCTTCAAGGTTTCACCTCACAGGACCCCTCCTCCAGGATGCCTTCCCCCTCCCTTTTCCACCCACGTGCCTGCCTCTGACTTCCCATAACCCTGGACATCCCCCTTCAAGCCCTGATTGTTCTGGGCTGTCATGGGGCTGTCTCTTTCTTGGCCTGTGAGTTACAGGAGGGTAAGAACTGCAACTGTCTTGGTCAGTGATTAGCCCACAATGAAATGTTTCATTTCAAAATGAAAATGAAATGAACAATAATGATGGCTAACACTCGGTACCAGGTGCTGACGTAAATACAAATCTTGGTTACTTTTAACTTTCACAGCAACCCTGCAGGAAGAACCTATTCTTCCCATTTCTCGGATTAGGAAACTGAGACTCAGAGGAGATATGATTTGCCCAGGGTCACACAGCACTGAAAAGTGGTTGACGCCACCAGTATGGAATTCTGCTTAAGAACTCAATTCTTGACATCAGACATACTTTTCCATTTTCTTGAGCAAGCTACCACTTTTTGTTGACACTCATTTTCTATATAGGAGGAGTGGGCAAAGTCATATCTTCTCTGTGTGGGTGTTATGGGGATTATATTAGATAAACTTCCATTCAGCTTCTTTTTATGGTGCTCAGCGGTTAGTAAGTGTTGGATAAGTGTTAGCTCTTATTATTGCCTCAAGAAAATTATTAGGAGAACCAAAGGAGCTCGCTGGGATTAAGTTTGACGTTACCAATAAAGTTGCTGTTGAAGGTGATAAAACGAGCCACGTAAATCCCTCGTATACTTTTAGAACGTTGTGCCCAGCCAGTGCTTTGTGGAGCTGGGGACACACTGGTGACTGAGACAGTCCTGGTCCTAGCTTCATGGAGCCACAGTCCAATAGGGATGACAGACCTGCTACCAGACAGTGATATCCCAGAGTAGCTAGGGCCATGACTGGGGAAGCACAGGCAGAGTTGTCAGGGTTGAGATGGGGCACCTAGAAAGAGGTATTCATTCAGTTTCACAGAAAAGGAGACATTTTGGAAAAGCCTAACAGGTAGAAGAAGCAGTATTTATGTTATTATTTATGTTATGATGTGGGGGAAGAGAGTTCTTAACCTGGACCAGCACATGCAAATATCCAGGGGCAAAAGAGAGCCCAGGGCATTCTGGGAACTACATGTACTATAGTTTTGTGTGTCTGAGACTTAGAGGCCTATGACTCATGCAGAACGGTGCACTCTGGCTCATGGGGCCTTGTGGGCTGGGTGAGGTGTTGGACTTTGTCCTGAGGGCTTTGGGGAGCCAGGCAAGGGATGCAATTAATTGTGAAAGATCTTTCCAGCTGTGGAGGGTGAACTTGAGGGGGCAAGAAAGGAGACTGGGGAGAGGCCCAGAGTCCAGCGGAATGACTAAAGCCCAAACTGGGTTCATGGGGATGGGGAGTGGAGACAAAGCTCAGAAATGTCATCAGAATTTTTGGCTATTTGCTTCCCTCTTTGCCCTGCCCCGCCTTTTCTTTCCTCTCCTTATTTCTTTGACCAAACATCTTAAGCTCAGATACCTTCTTTGCATAAGACTGGTACCCTTTTCTTGCTGTCAGGTGTGGCAGTTTGCTAGTGAGGTATGGTGGTACTGGGTTCGGATGGGCTTGGCTCCTTGTCCCTGTCCTGGTCCTGGCTCTTCAGGGTCTTCCCAGCACCCTTGGGACACTCCTCCTGGGCCAGTGACAGATCCTCTGAGAGCTTCTATCCATCTTAGTAAAATTGAGACAGTTATAACTGCTGCTTCATGGAGTAGTTGTAAGAATTTAGTGAAGTTATTTCCATAAATCATTTAATGGTACCTTTATTCATGCAAATGCTTTTGGAGGTTTGTGTGCTGGTGACCGTACTGCTCATGGGGATAAGGTGATAAATAAGAAGGCTTGTAGCTCTTCAGAAGGAGAGCTAAACAACAAGTAAACAAACATGATGTCAAGAGGTGGGAAGTGCCATGAAGGAAGAGCAGGTAGGGTCCCAGGAGTGGGGGAGAGTGACATGAGAGGGCACTTACTCACACAGGGTGGTCAGGGAGTGCCTCAGGTGGCAGCATATCTGCTGAGCCCTGGTTGAATGGAAGGAGGCCATGTACACATCAGAAGGATGCTCCTAGTAGAGGGAGCAGCCAATGCAAAGGTCCTGAGGCAGAGTTGCTGTGATGGGCCTGAGAAAGGGCAGGAAAGCCAGTGTGGCTGGAGCTATAGGAGTGAAGGTGGAGTGTGGGGAGAGATGAGGTGGTAGAAGTCAGCCTGGGCCACATCAGGGGCGTGTGTCAAGGTGCTGGAGACAATGAGAAGAAGTGCTCGCATTTATCGAGCGTTTACCGTGTGTCCTTTGTATGTGTGACTCACGTTCCTCGTACAGCGACGTTGTGGGGTAGGTACTGTTACTGTTGATCTCTTCCAGAGGAGTGCACGCGACCACTTGAGTGGTTCTAGGCTGCTGCTGGTATTGCTCTGTACTCGTTGTCAGTGGACTGATGGTTTCCCTCCTGGGCTGCGTCTTCTCTGCAAAGGGGAGCTCGAGACGCAGGACATGATACCAAGGCCTCCAGTCACCTATGGGTCTTTCCTCCCCCCACCGCAGAGCTGAAGAAGTCCCTGTACGCTATCTTCTCCCAGTTTGGCCAGATCCTGGATATCCTGGTGTCACGAAGCCTGAAGATGAGGGGCCAGGCCTTTGTCATCTTCAAGGAGGTCAGCAGCGCCACCAATGCCCTGCGCTCCATGCAGGGTTTCCCCTTCTACGACAAGCCCATGGTGAGCACTGGGTGTGGAGGGTGTGGGTGTATGCCCGTGCAAGGCTGTTGCAGGCTGGATGGGTCTGGACTTATGTCACCTGTAGTCCAGACCATTGAGGACGGGAGTTTCTCTTGCTAGTCCTCAGCATCCACTGTTCACTGCACTGGGGCTGTGGAAACACCGTGATCAAGGGAAGGCCCAGCTCCGCCCTCTTGGGCCCACAGTGCAGTTGGAGAGACACGCCTGCCTCCAGATGGCGATGACCCGGAGGGGTCGGGGCTGAGACCGGGCAAGTGCACAGAGCTGGGGGAGCTCAGGCGCGGCCTCTCACCCACTCTGGGAGTTTGCCGGGAAGCCTTTCTGGATGAGTAAGACTTGGAGAAGAGTCGCTGGGGGAGGAGAGGGAGAAAGACAGTGGACTAAGGCCTGGAGATAACCAAGAGCACGTGTAGTTGAGGAAGTGAGTCAAGTTCCCTTAGCTGGAGTGAAGGGTGGGATGTGGTGGGAGGGACTGGCCTGGAGAGCCAGTCAGAAGTCAGGCTAAGGAGCTGGAGTTGGTCCTGAAAGTGGACTTGATTCCGAGGGTGCTGGGGAAGCAAGGGAAGCTTTTTGGGGACTGCCTGTGGCTGTTGGGTAGGGGGGTTAGGAGGGAGATGGGGTTCCGTTGTGAAGGTGAGGCTGGGTTGGCTCCCAGGTGGTGGGGTTGGGCCGGGACCAGGGCAGGGGCTGTGGGATGGGAAGAAGTGGGTTACGGATGTTCAGGAGGCCAAGTGGGCAGCCGTGGGGACTGCTGTCCAGGAGGTGAGGAGTGGCTTAAAGTCCCTGCCCTGAACTAGAATTCCTGCCGTTATCAGTGGGAGATGTTTTTGGTTCTTCGGGCTTTTTCCTTTGTTCCTCAGTCAGTTTTCCAGTTTCACCTGATTGTAATATGCTTCCCTGAACCAGTTCCCTTGGGGAGGTGAGAGAAGTGTCAGTGCCTGCAGGTCCCAGGTAGGTCACTTCATGTGGAAGACACTGGCCCCGGGTTTAGTGGGGCCGCCTGGAGCCCTCACCTCCTTCTGGAGTGCGCCGCTTGTCATCGCCTCTGGCTGTGTGAGCCCACAGTTGCCACATCTTCCGTTGCTTCTCTGGAGCGGCCAGGAATTCACTTTTGAGGACTAAAACCAGTAAATCGTTTTGTGTAGACCCTCCTCCCCTGCTTTTCTCTGAAATCATTGCTTGGACCATATGAAGCACTGAGCCACTGTGAGTTCGGTCAGTGAGTCCCGTCAACTCTACCTTCAAAACCTCTACCAAAAAAATAAAAGAAAAAAAACAAAAAGTCCCCCAAACAAACAAAACCCTCCACCTGTTCTTCTCACTCCCCCCCTGCCACCCACCTGGTCCCAGCCACCACCCTTCTCCCTGGTTCGACACCTGGTCCTCACAGGCCACTCTCCATCCTGTGGCCACAGCGCTCCTTGGGAGTCACAAGTGAGCTCGTCACTCCCCTGCTTATAACACTCCATGGCTCCTGGCTTTCTCCCTCCTCATCTGTGTTGGCCTCCTTGCTTTTCCTTGAACACACCCTCCACTCCTTAGATCTTTGATGGCTGTTCCTTTGCTAGGATGCTCTTTTCCCTAGATGTCTGCGTGGCTCCCTCCCTCCCTCTGTCTCTATACCAGTGTTTTCTCACTGAGGTCTTTCCTGGCCACACTGAAAATTTCAGTTCTTCTCAACTCCTCACATCCCCTTCTCCAGTTCACTTTTTAATCTCTGTCATATCTTTCCCAGCGAACAGACTCCATGAGAGCGGGGGCTTTTGTGTGATTTGCTCATTGCTGTACCGCCAGAGCAGATATAGGTGCTCCATAAACCGCTGAATGAATGAGATTTAGCCTGGAGACTCAGTTCTCTTCCTGTGTGATGGAAACCCCCCTGCACAGTGCTCCTGTCCTGATCTTGTTTCCTTCCTTCTGCCTTGGGCCTGATGCTTGGGGCTGTCCCATCTTCCCTTCAGAATCTCAGCAACCTCTGACTGGGCACTTGCTGTGTGCCAGGCACCGTCTGGAGCACTTTCACTCATGGTCTTCACGATTGTCCTTTGAAGTGGGAAATACCGCAGTCGCTATTTGACAATGAGGACGTTGAGGCCAAGTGATTTCTGTGACATTACTCACCAAGCTCCTGGCAAGGTCTGATTGGGCGTCCGGGTGGTCTGGCCCCAGACTAGTCTCCTTAACCCTTCTGCTCTCGGTTCGGCAGCGCATCCAGTACGCCAAGACTGACTCGGATATCATTGCCAAGATGAAGGGCACCTTTGTGGAGCGGGACCGCAAGCGGGAGAAGAGGAAGCCCAAGAGCCAGGAGACCCCGGCTGCCAAGAAGGCCGTGCAGGGTGGGGCGGCCGCCCCTGTGGTGGGCGCTGTCCAGGGGCCTGTCCCGGTAAGCTGGGGCCCAGAGACACGGCCTTCTCACCACCAGGTCTTCCTCAGCCACGTGGGCTGGCTTGGGGGTGGGGTGGGGAGGGGTCTCCCCTTGTGGATTCAGACTCCCCCCTCCCATTTTTCTTAGAGAGATTGTGTGCCTGTCTCTAGGGAGGGGTTGAGCATGTGAGTGACGGTATCTCCACTTGGAAATGTCTGTGCCTGCCTGCCTGTTTCTCAGGATCTTTCTTTCTCTGTGTCTCACTGTTTTGTTTTCTCTTTCTCCTTGACCTTGATTTTGCTGTCTGTGTCTTCTAAGTCAATGTCTGTGTAGAAAATCCAGAGAAAACTACTAGTCAACTGTTAGGATTAAAAAGAATTTAATTTAACAAGGTCACCAGATATAAGATCAGTATGGAAAAAGTCAGTTTTATTTCTACACGTTGGCCACAAACAAGTAGACTTCAAATTGAAAGATAGCTCCGAGGAGTAAATTCAACAAAAAGTGTGCAAAGGCACCCACTGAAACTGCAGAACATGGCTGAGTGAAATTGGAGATGACCTCATCAAATGGATAGGAAGACTCACTGCTATTAAGACTTCAGTTCTCTGCAAATTAATTTAAAATTCAACACAATTCCAATCAAAATCCCAGCAGGGACTTGTGGGGACAGACAGGCTGTCTGTAAATGTCTGGAAAGGCAAAGCAAGGCAGACGAGGAGAACAAAGCTGGGGGCCTGCTATATAGTAATCAAGATGGTATGGTATTGGCATAAGGGTAGAAAGACGGACTAGTGGGGCAGAATAGAGTCCTGAAACATCCACACGTGTATGTAGCCACTCCATGTATGTCAAGGTACCACATGCAGTCCAGTGGTAAAAGGGGTTTTTCCCCTAGTAAATGATGCTGGGCCAATTGGATATCTGTAAGGGGAAAAGTTAGCCCTGCCTTAACAATGTATAAGTTACTTTGAGCTGAATCATAGACCTGAATGTGACAGCTACAACAATAAATGTTCTAGAAGAAAACAGGAAAGTGTCTACGACCTTGGTGAGGGCATGAAGAGTGGAAACATCCTGTTTGCTAAACAGGATACAGAAAGCACAAAGTATTAAAGAAAAGATGGACGAATTGGACCTACTCAGGTCTCCGAGCCTCCACGTCAGCTTTTCTGATGGGTTGTGCTCTGTTGTGTCTTGTGTCGGTGATGGTGTCTGGCTTACCATCGAGCTTCGCCACTCTTACGGTCTCCACTCTTCTGTGCCCAGCTTTCTGTCCACCTTTGACTCTTAGATGGGATTCCAGCTCCTGTTTCCCCTGGGTGCACACGCTCTTGGCCTTCAGGCTGTCTCCCTTCCCCTTGCCACCAGCGCTCCCACTTCTTCATGCACCTGCCTTGACCATTCCTAGCTACCTCTGCCTTCCACTGTCTGTTCTCTGGGTCTGTTTCTTTTTCCATGAAGTTTATTTTTAGAAGCAGGAGTACAGCATGCTGCTTACAGTGTTTATTTCCACCCCTTTTAGTTAATAATGTTTTTATTTTTTTTCCTAGGCTATTTTTCTACTCATATGTCTCTAAACAAAGGCCCTTCTGGCGATTTTTTTTTTTTTTTTCCTTTGGCCATGCCACATGGCATGTGGGATCTTAGCTCCCTGACCAGGGATTGAATCCATGCCCCATGCAGTGGAAGCTCACAGTCCTAACCACTGGACCACCAGGGAAGTCCCCCTGACCAATTTTTTTTTTTTTTTTTTTTTTTTTTTATTGCGGTACGCGGGCCTCTCACTGTTGTGGCCTCTCCCGTTGCGGAGCACAGGCTCTGGACACGCAGGCTCAGCGGCCATGGCTCACGGGCCCAGCCGCTCCGCGGCATGTGGGATCTTCCCGGACCGGGGCACGAACTCGCGTCCCCTGCATCGGCAGGCGGACTCTCAACCACTGCGCCACCAGGGAAGCCCCCCCGACCGATCTTCATATGTTAAAAAAAAGTTTTTTTTTGAAACTCTTTGATTTAATGTCTGCTGTGACCTTGGGTCTGTTTTGCTCCATCCGTCCCTCTTTGGGTGCCTTTTTTGCCTTTTCCAAGACTGGATCTTTCTCCCTGTGTCTCTCACTCCCTGGGTTTCCTGTAACAACCTTTTCTTCTCTCTTGTTTCCTGTCGGCACTGAAAGCACACCTCCTCCCACCTGCTGGCGCCCCTCTCAGTCCTGCCCTTCTCTCCCTACAGGGCATGCCGCCGATGACCCAGGCGCCCCGCATCATGCACCACATGCCGGGCCAGCCTCCCTACATGCCGCCCCCCGGCATGATCCCGCCTCCGGGCCTCGCACCCGGCCAGATCCCACCAGGGGCCATGCCTCCACAGCAGCTTATGCCGGGACAGATGCCACCTGCACAGCCTGTAAGTGTCTGGTCCTCCTGGGGTCTGCTATAGTCAGAAGACGGGAATGGCAAGGGGCTGGTGGGAGCACTGTTTTAGGTTGGGTGGTCTGGGCAGGCCTCCCTGAGAAGGTGATGCTGGAGGATGAGGATGTAGCAATGGTGTCAGGTCCTGGGACAGAAATTGGTGTGTTCGTTGGAGCAGCTTTGGAAGGTCACGGTGAGGCTGGAGTCGGGGTAGGCTGCACCTGGTTTCATTCAGTGAACTTCTGAGCACCTGCTTATGGGTACAGCAGTGGTCTCTTGTGGCTTACAGTCTAGGGGGGGCAAGACAGGCAACAACACAGGGTATGTCAGGTGCAGGACTAGAAAGAATTCAGGAAGGGGCGGGGGTGGGGTGGGGTGGGGCAGCGGCTGGAGAGCAGGAGGGCTGTAGATCCCCGACCAGACTCAATGGGCTCCCGTCGCTCTCCTGCAGCTTTCAGAAAATCCACCAAATCACATCTTGTTCCTCACAAACCTGCCTGAAGAGACCAACGAGCTCATGCTTTCCATGCTTTTCAACCAGTAAGTGGGGCCTGTGGCTGGCTGGGGGCCAGAGGGTGATGGCCAGGAGGTGGCACCATGGGGATGGATGAGCTTCACAGTTCTGCTGGTGGAGTCCTGCTTAGGCTGTACAGGCGGGACAACGGCTAGAGGTTAAAAGGAGGAGGGTGAAGTCGGGCCTGCAGCGGCGGGGTGTGGAGGGCAGCAGTGGCCAGGGCGGGTGGGCCGTCCTCTGCCTTCATGGGGCTGCAGTGGGGCTCCGGGCTCTGTGTCTCATCTTTGTAGTCTCTAAATTGGACATAGGCAAGTCAAACAAGAGTGAGATGTCACTGAACACTGGCTAGACTGGTAGGAGTCAGCCTGTTTAGACTGCAAGTATGGGAGGCGGGGATGCTTGACCCCGCGTGCCCTGCAGATGGGATGCAGACCACTGCGGGCGTTGTGTAGGGTAACTGGCCACCGTTTAGTCATGCTCACCTGGTGGCTTTGCTGCTTCCCCCACACACACTTTTTTTTTTAATTGGAGTATAATTGCTTTACAATGTTGTGTTAGTTTCTGCTGTACAGTGAAGTGAATCAGCTATATGTGTATATATATCCCATCCCTCTTGGACCTCCCTCCCCCCCGCCATCCCACCCATCTAGGTCATCACAGAGCACCGAGCTGAGCTCCCTGTGCTATACAGCAGGTTCCCACTAGCTATCCATTTTACACATGGTAGTGTGTTCATGTCAAACCTAATCTCCAGTTCATCCCACCCTCCCCTGGCACCCCTGTGTTCACATGTCTGTTCTCTACGTCTGCGTTTCTCTTCCTGCCCTGCAGATAGGTTCACCTATACCGTTTTCATCTGTACCTGTTTCTAACTGTATATCCTACAGAAATTCTAACACGAGGCCCCAGGGGCTGTGGGTAGGGCATTCCTCACAGTGTGGCAGGGAGCCAGAGGCAGCCTGGGAGAAGGGAGCGGTCAAGTGCAGGTGCTCGCGACTGCACGCCACGTGGCAGCTAGAGGGAACAGGAAGAGCAGCGTGCGTGGTTCCTTATGCTAATGCCGAGGGGCAATTTTGAGAAGCTGAATAAAACGGGAAAAGAATGCCATGCATTCATATACCATGTCCACAGAACAATGCATATTTTCTAAGGATACTCATGGAGAAAGGGATAGCCAGTAAACATGAGGATGGTTGCCTAATGGGGAAGGAAGTAAGGAATGAGAAGAGGGAAATGAAAGAAACAACAGACCATGAAAGTCGGGATGGTGGTAATTTCCGGAGTGGTTATTTGTACGATTCCTGAGATTGGGAGAGGACGTGGAGGGTGGGGAGGAGGCAGTGTTCTTTGTCTTGATGGAGGTTATGGTTGCACAGGTGTTCATGTTAACAGTTTTATTTAAATGGTATGTTTCCTTTGTACACACTTTTTTATATTAGGGTTTATCAACTTAGCGTCATACACATTTGGGGCTGGATAATTCTTTGTTATTGGGGCTGTCCTCTGCATTGTGGGATGTTTAGCAACATTCCTGGCCTCTACCCCCGGGATGCCAGAAAGTTGGGGGGAGGTGCTGAGTCTGGATTCCTGAGGTCTCTGACCATCTCTCAGGTTCCCTGGCTTCAAGGAGGTCCGGCTGGTCCCAGGGCGGCACGACATCGCCTTCGTGGAGTTTGACAATGAGGTGCAGGCAGGGGCCGCACGCGACGCCCTGCAGGGTTTCAAGATCACCCAGAACAACGCCATGAAGATCTCCTTTGCCAAGAAGTAGCACCCTTTCCCCATGTCTCTGTCCCCTGTTCTGGGGCCACCCCCTCCCCCTCTTGGCTCAGCCCCCTGAAGGTAAGTCCCCCTCGGGGGCCTTCTTGGAGCCGTGTGTGAGTGAATGGTCGCCACACAGCATTGTACCCAGAGTCTGTCCCCAGACATTGCACCTGGCGCTGTTAGGCTGGAATTAAAGTGTTTTTTTTGAGGTTTGTTTTTTTCACAACCGTTTGTTGTTTTTATTTTCTTGTCCTGTGTGTTTCCCTTCCCTGCACATCAGATTATTCTGAGCGTTTGGGCCTCTCAGCACGTTGGGGATTGCAACCTTGGGAAAACCCAGAATAGTGTAGCAACATTGTCCAAACTAAAGTCACTTTTACCACTTTGGTAGATTTTTATTTTGCCTCAATCAGCATTCAGGGCAGGAAATTAAAACCCATGCTGCCAGGTACAGTTGGGCAGGTTCTGTACTGTGCAAGGATGCCACTTTTAATGGCACACCATTCACTTCATAGACTTGTATGTTGATTCCAGTAATTTTCTAACGTGATAGATTGTTAAGAAAGAGGTTTTTCTTCATCTTTTTCTAGACAAAAATGCCTTCTGTCATAGCAAGAGTCCCACAGAAACCATTCTAGGTACTTCAGGAAGAAAGGGAAGGGAATTGGGTATTCATGAAATCGTCGGGAGGATGTTAGTGGTGGCAGTCTGGGTTGGAGACATTTGAATTCGAGTTTGCAGCCCTCGATTGAGCTGCAGTCTCTAGAGTTCAGGAAGATGTCAGTGCTGCTGTTGGGAGTCCCTAAACTTCACACTTGGGAAGCTCCTGATCAGATGCTGGTACCAGGAGCGTGGCCAGTTCACACACAGCTGCTCCCCCCGCTGGCCAGGTGCCAGCCAGGAGCTTCGGGCAGATGGCTGAGCCAATCTTCCCTCCAGTGCCCCAACTGCAGGGGAGGCTGGGAAATGTGGTTCCAGGCTGGACGGTCACGTACCCAGCTGAAGCTATGGATAAGAAGGGGAGATTGAATGGGGGACCTTTCTTCGCAGTCTGTCATACACCTGACCTGGCAATTTTTAAATCGACTGAAGTATATTATATGTATATATGTATATATATAGCTTAAAACCTTTTCTCACACCATGTAGATGGGAAAGTGTGATCACTTGCCAGAGTAGAAAATTAACCACAAAGATAAATACAATAAGACATAGTGCTAAATTCTCCCTGGAGATTTTTGTCCTGTCAAGGCTCTGAGCCCCAGCCTCCTCCTGCTGCACTCCTTCCATTAAAGAGGAACATCAGTGTTTGAAGCATTTGAACATCAGGGTTTGTGGCACCAGAGGCACACTTTCACCTTGTAGGATCTGAAAGATGAAAAGGGGAAGGTGATTGCCGTCTTCACTAAATGGCGCAGTGTTATTGTAGATGGCTCGTGGGAACCCGGGGTCTGTGGACCGTGGATCCTGGTTTCTACTGTCCGCCTGCTGTGGGGGCTCCCTGGCTGTTTCCTCCATGGGCAGTTGATGTCTGCACTCTGAGCTTCATTTTCTTCCTGTGCAAAGAGAACTCTTTCTGTGGTGCACCGCCCGCCCCCCTCTCCCCCCACCACTGCTACCCCACCGGGCACGTAGCAAGCACTGAATAAATTCAACAAATAACTTGCTGAGTACCTATTACATACTAAGTACTGTTCTTGGCACAGGTTGTGCGGTGGCAAATGAAATAGACAAGCTAATTTCAAATGCTGGGTTCTGATAGAAACAACTGACATAATGGGGTGATGTGTCGGTGGAGCTGGGGAGCAGTAACAGGTGATCAAGGGGAGCCCCTCTGAGTAGGTGATATTTGAGTAGAGCTGTTTGATGCTCTCATGGTACTTGGTGCTGGGTGTTGGGTATGTGGAGATGGCTTAGGCCCAGTCTTTGCCCCTGATGAATTCTTCCCCACCCCAAGCCTGTGTGTGTCCATCTGCTTCCCCTAAAACTAAAGTTCGGACTTGCTTGCTGACCAGGGGTGAGAATACCTGAGGAAAGAGATGGGTCTTCAGGCATGTAGATCTCTGTTTGAAGCACAGTTTTAGAAATGAGACTTGAGTTCAAATCCTCTGCCACTTTCTCATTCTGACCCTGGGCAACTGACTGAGCTCCAAGATCAGTAGTGATGGGTGTGGGCCTGGAGCCAGATCTAGCCCCTCCACTTCCCAACTCTGTAACCTTGGACAAGTTCTTTAAGGCTCTGTGCTTCCATTTCTACGTAAAATGGGGTTATGATCACTCCTCTTAAAGGTGGTGCAGAGTATACATTTGAGTTAATAAAAATATGCATGGTGAATGCTCTATAAATAACTACTAGTTTTTATTTATTTCAGATGAGAAAGATGAGGCTCTGGGAGGAGGAATAGCTTAGCCCAGGTCACCCAGTCAGGAAGTGGCTTATGAGGATAAATAGTGATCATGGTAGGGCATCGCCTAGCTTAAGGTCCAACATATAATATTCACTCCATACTTGGGAGCTGGGGCTATTCCTGGCAATCAAAGGGCTGCCTTGTTCTGCTGCCCCTCAGCACAGGAAATTCCAAGGTGGTTTTTCCATACTGGCTTCTCTGGTTCTGTCCCTGCGGGGGAGAGCAGAGGGGCCCAGGTCCCCAAGCCAACTCATAAAAGATGGAATTGAATATCAACTTGCCTGTCTTAACCCCGTCTCTGTTGAGGGGGTGGCTGTTACTTGGAGTGGCCTGGGCTGCCTTGAGCCTATCTGGGTATTTCCTTGTGCTGGCAGCCCTCACCCTGTCCTTGAAATGGTTCTGGCTGGGTAGCAGACTATAGGTGGTGTGGGTGAAATTTGGGACTGGTTTAAGGCGGGGACAAGACCCAGAACACAGGCTTCCTTGTGCTGCTGGAGAGGGAGGGCAGGAGGGAACTGGAGACCCCGTTCCTCCCTTAGGCACTCTCTTGCTTACAGTCCACGATGGCTTGGTCCTCGGTGCTACTTGGTGTTGTCTTGCTGTCTGCCTTCCCAGGTCCTAGTGTCGGGGGCCACCTGATGCCCAGGCTGGCTGACTGGAAGCTGTGTGCTGACGAGGAATGCAGCCGTAAGAGTTGGGGGTTGGGGGCGTTGGGGGCTTGGATTGCTAGCCTGTGGGGAGGGTGCTGTTACTCCCTTCTGTTCCTTCCCCAGACCCCATCTCCATGGCCGTGGCCCTTCAGGACTACGTGGCCCCCGACTGCCGTTTCCTGACCATACGCCAGGGCCAAGTCGTGTATGTCTTCTCCAAGCTGAAGGGCCGAGGGCGGCTCTTCTGGGGAGGCAGCGTGAGTCTTGGGAGAACAGAGGAGGCAAGGGTAGGGTGGCTGGGGTGGGCGTGCACCCTGATTTTTCACCTGAAGGGAAAATCTGAGGGAGTGAGCTGAAATATAGTTTTGGAGGGGAGGCTATTGTGGTCTACTTTACTTTGTTTAGCAATTATTAGGGCACCTACTATGGTGGGTACAATAAAGAACGACCCCTTTTATTCTAATGGAGGGAGACAAGGAGGTAGGTGCCACCCCATCAAAAATACCAGCAAGTATGTGCTGCTTTGAGAATTAATAGAAAGTGACTGGGTGACTAATTCACATGGGGTGGTCTGGGAGGACCTTCGAGCATGTGACTTTAAGCTGGGATTGGAATGACGAGGATGGAGCAAGCCAAGTCGAGATCAGGGAGAAGAGAGTGCAAAGATCTTCAGCAGGAGTGAGCTTGCCATCTTCCCAGACCCCGGCTTTTAACTCCTCTTCCCCAGGTTCAGGGAGATTACTATGGAGACGTAGCTGCTCGCCTGGGCTATTTCCCCAGTAGCATTGTACGCGAAGACCAGACCCTGAAGCCTGGCAAAACTGATGTGAAGACAGATGTGAGTGTCTTGGGGGCTGGCAGGGACTTGGAGGGAGGCCCTTGGGCAAAGATGCCCCTACCCTTGGCTCCCTGGCATCCTAGCTGTATGCGCTGGAGCAAATCCCCTGCCTTTTCTTATCTGAAAAATGAGGAGTGATTTCTAAGTCCTAGTCCGATTGAGAGGTGCAAAGGGTAGAGGGCTCTAGGCTAATTTGCATAGCATTTGTGCAGCCAAACCTGGCGCCTGTGGCTGCAGCATTTGCTAAAACCACTAGATCCTTTGTGGTGTGACCGCTAGTTTTCTCCCCACTGTTTCCCCTTTCTCTTTTTCAGAAATGGGATTTCTACTGCCAGTGAGCTCAGTCTACCGCTGTCTCTGCTGTTGTTTCTCGCTGACTTTATGCAAATACATCAGCCAAGTGCAAACTATGGGTGTCGGTGGTCTTTGTGGTGGGTCTCTAGAAAGGAAGTGTTTCCCCAGGCTTCTGAATCTAGCCAATCAATCCACTGACTGTGGTAACGTCAGTGGTTGCTAGGCAGAATTTCACGGACTAAGAGCTCTTTGCTCCAAGCTGGGTACCAGAGGTGGGCTCGTAAGCTTAGATATTACAAACAGATGAGAAGATGGAACAACTGAACAGCCAAACTGGGGGATTATAGTGTCTTCTCTAGACTAATAAGAGAACTATTGAACTATTGGGAATGAGCCAGTTGAACCATGAGGAAGACATAAATCACAGAGCAGAGGTTTTCTAGGATTTCTTGGAAGATTATCCGCAAAGGGAGGTAGGAGGTTAATCTGTGCGTATCATGCGTACCATCCCAGTTTTCATCCTCCTTGCCTTAGAGATCAGTACGCCTCAGCTCTGGATCGGCTCCTACCCCCGCTCCCTTCTTTGCATTCGTATCCCCGCCCCCAAGTCCGCTTCTACCCAATCTGGAATCTCGACTCTGCCCACGGACTCCTGACCAAATCCGTTTCTCTGCTCGGCGAAGCGTCTCTGGCACCGCCAATCGCTCGTGTTGGTCCCGCCCCTTTAGGCCCTGCCCCTCTCTCCCCACCAGTCTGCGCTTTTGTCCCGCCCCCTGCCTGCAGAGTCCGCCAATCCTTGTCTTGGAAAGCGTGGCCTGGTGTCCCGCAGCATTAGCGGGTCGCGCCGGAGGGGGGTGGAGGCGGAAGTGGCGGCGCCGGCCCGGGGAGTAGGAAGAAGCCGGGGCTGCAGCCCGAGTGGAGCGGCTGCCAGCCGAGGAGCAGGCGCGGCCGTGTCGCCATATTGCGGCCCTAAGCGGCCGCGACCGAGTCATGGCTGAGACCTACGGTGAGGGTGGTGGGCGGAAGCTGGGGTCTG